ATTGTAAATTATTTAAAAATTGTTCTATTTGTAAATTTATTGTACTCTAAGTTGCTTCACCATTTCTATTTTTATTATTGGGATGTACCAATCTTTAGGTAATGTTAAATTTCCAGTTAATTTTTAGAATTTTACTTTTTTTCTCTTTTTTCAGTCTTGAATAATAACTTGCTTCAGTATAGTCAATCTCAATCTTTCCTTCTTCAGAAATCTGCAGAACCTGTCCCTTTCACTTCTGCATCTAATATTTCCAAGAAGGTGTGACTTTATGTATTTCTTTACAAGTGAACAGAATTTTCTGAATGATTGCTGGAAATTTAGAAGATTCTTTCTAAACTTTACCAAATTCATCTATCTATATTCTATGTTTATCAATTGACCTATGATCGATGGATCGATAGATTGAGCTAACCATCCATCCCTCTGCCATCAATCAATCAATTATCTATTTAGTGTTTTCACTTTGCTTTTTGTTTTTCTTCTCTTGTACAGGCACAACAACAGTTTTTATGTTGATTTTCCATTGGTTATGTTCCCTAATTAAAAATTTGTTTTATGTCTTTAATTAATTTGTATTTTTTTAACTTTTTTTTAGATTTTATTTATTTATATAAGAACTGGAGTACAGGTCATAAGGCGCGGGATGGTGAGAGAATTCACCAGAGACAGATCGGGAACAGAACTGGCAGACTGACAAAATACACTGCTGAGGGGAGCAGTGGGCAAGTCAGGAGAGGTCTGCTGCGCCATGTGGGTTGCTCCCTGGCCGGCCAGGGGATCGAACTCGTGCTGCAGTGGTTGTGGACAGCTTCATAGGGTGCCTCTTAACCCCTTGCAACACCAGGGAGGCCCCAGTGACTTCTTTTATTTGGAAAAATTTAAATCTTTCACTCTCGTTTTTTTTTTGTTTTTTTTTTTTTTTTTTAAGCTATTCTCTGTCTTGGCCAGAAGATGGCGTAGATGTTCCATTTACAGCTCCCTGTGCTTTAGAAGAAATTCTTGTTGGAAAGAAATTGCTGGGTAAGTCAGAAGAGCCTCCGCCCAAACTGGGACGTGCAAGAAGAAACAGGAAAGAATTTTTAATAATGGGTGGTGTCAGGTGTCGCATCCCCATACAAATCTCTCTTCTCTAGGGAAAGACAAGTAGATTTTGGGTCGGTCCTCAGAACAAAATGGGCGCTGGCCCTTGGACCAGGGCAAGGCTTTGGGGTGGGAACAGCAGCCAGGGAAAAAATGGAGGAGCCAGCCCCAGGGTAAAAATGGAGGAGCCAGCCCCCGGGGCAGGCAGAGACGAGAGGAATGCTGCACAACCCCCTGTGAGTTCCACCTCTTCCTCACGGAGCCCTAGGTCAGGGGAAGATTCATCTGCTTGAAGGGAGAGTGGAGGGTCAGTGTTCTTGATCCAGCTTTTTCTCATGGTCTTTTCATGCACAGAATCAGTGGGCCACAGTGGCATATGGGTGGGGGCGTATTCTCCTCCCTTGCAGGTAGGTAGATGGTGCACGGACAGGGGTGCAGACTGCTGCGGTCCCTTTCCATATTCCCATGAAGACTCCCGTTCAGAAAACGCCCTTTTGGAGGGATGTTTGCACTTGGGCGATGTCCCCACAGTGAGTCCGGCCATCACTCTGTAGCACAGGAAAGACTGAAAGGTGTTGTGGGCGAGGAAGGGGGAAGACAAGAGACCCCTCATAGCTCAGGCAAGTTGTTCTGGCGGGTTCCAGGACAGACACATGTGGCGGTGGAGACTCCAACAAAGTCTCCTCAACTACTCAGAAGCCTGAGGACAGGTCAGGGGTGTCCTCTCCCCCTGCAGCCCCTGGTGGGGGCACTTGTACAGAGGACTCAGCAGGCGCTGCCCAAAGCCGGGAGGGGAGTCATCACTGTGGTGGTCACGGGACTGTGACCCCGTCCTGTTCTCCTCTTCGCCTTCTTCTCTGGCTTCTGCAGCTCATGTGATCTTGGCTGGATTCCTGAGGCTTGATCTGTGAGCCTCAAAGATAATGGGCTGTTGTGTCCCCTGTCCACCTCCTCATCAGGATGTGATCTCTGTTCCGCTCTTTGGAATTAGCAGGAGCACCTCTCTCCTCGGCTCCATGCATACAACCACAGCAGAACACCAGGCCTACCAAACACAGGAGGCGGCTATAACTTTTTGACAATAGATTTTGGGCCGTAGCTATTGTCACTGTCCTTTACTGAGCTGTACTGAGGATGAAGACAATGTAAATTGAACTTCTCTTAGATCAAGCTCCGGTAATATTGTAAACACCCTCAAATACTTGTTTTTTAAAATTCTTTCTTCTCTATGCTGTTTTGTTTTCTTTCTATTTTGTAGTCAATTTTTTAGATTCTTCCCATCACTTGCTATTAATGTGATCAAGCCCCTCTGCTGTATTTGTTCTTTATTTTTATTTATTGATACTTATCTCCTGACATCATTGTTCATTTTGTAGACTATTTGACTTCCCCCCTCAGGCGTAGTCCCCATAATTCTCCCCCCACCGCAGCACTTGTGTACTGTCAGCATAGTCCCTTGTGAGCTTCCCTCCCCAGATTTCACCCCCTCCACTGCTATATACCTCAGACCTATGGGTGCCTGCAAGTTCTGTCTCTTTTTTTCCTGACCCTTCACTCAGCTTCCCTATATTCCACCTATAAATGAAACCATCCGATATTTGTATATTTCCTCTGCTTTATCTCACTTAGCATCATCCATTCCAGCTCCAACCATGTTGCTGAGTGGCATGAGTTTATCTTTTTGAGTAGTAGTCCATTGTGTATATAGTCCACATTTTGATCCGTTCATCTGTTTGGAGGCATTTAGGCTGTTTCCATAATTTGGCTATTGTTAATGGTGCCGCAGTGAACATCGGAGCACAGGTTTCCTTTCAAATTAGTGTTTCTGGGTCCTAGGAGTGGGACCCTGGGTCATATGAGAGGTCCATGAAATATTATTTATTAATGGACAGAACAAGCTGAATACCGCATGGCCACTAAAGAAGTCAAATATTTAGGCCACTTGTCCTTGGGAACCTGGAGTCGCCGGGCATAAGCTTCGGGGAGCAAGGACACTTGGCCTTGGCCACCCCTGGGGTGGAGTCTGGAGGCTGAGTGCCCCCATCATTTATGGAATAATCTATCGAGTTCTACTTTCTGTTACAGACAGGAATGTGTTTTATGTTCTAAATTCTGGATAAGAATACCTGGGTCTATTTCTAGACCATCTGAAATGGAAGCCCTGTGGGGACTGGTCACTGCAGGTTTAGAGAGTGTTTCTAGTCAGGAGAGCCATGGCTGGCTGGCAGCTCACACATGGTCACGCGTGTGTGCTTGGCTCATATATTGTTCTGTGGGACCCCCATGTGTGTGTGCGGCACCCCACCTAGTGAGGGACACCCCTTCATTTAGACCAGGGGTGGTTGACCATGTTTGGGGACATCTGTGGGTGTCACAACTGGACGTAAAGTGAGGAGGCCACCGCCATCCAGGGGGAGAGACCAGGGACACTGTGAGACCCCAGTCATGCCCAGAACAGCTCCCTCCCGGCAAGCAGCCAGAGCAGTGGTGCGGGGCCTGGAGGCGGCAGCCATGCACCCTACCCATGGTAAAGCCTGGGTGCCCGTGGGAGGAGTCTCTGCATGGGGGCTGTGGGAGGCAGAACCTGCCCTGCGCCCCAGGGCCTGGCAGCCGTGGGCAAGGGGGGAGATGACAAGAGAGTGGGGGGGTGGGGGGAGGAAGGAAGGTCCATGCAGAGGGGGCAGCAGGAAGCGGGGAGTTTGTGAGGTCAGAGCCTTGGAGATGGGGAGAGAGAATGAAATGGAGGCAAGTAGCAGCTGACATAGGGATTCTTCTCTCAGAGACAAGAACAAATTTGTATGCCCTTCTGCGGGGAACTTTGAATTTAGAATCTTAGAATTGGGAAGTGTGTGTGTGTGTGTGTGTGTGTGTGTGTGCGCGCGCGGCACGCGCACGCGCGTATTGAGGAAATGACCTAAGCAAATGCTTTGAACACAAATACAAATATTTATTTGTAAAAATGCTAACCAGCACCTTCTTACACTAACAAATACTTGGAAACAAATTCAGTCAAAATCCCAGGAGACAAATATAGGACAATAAATGTAGCAACTAGGTACAATAATTCTGAATAGTTTTCAATGACTTGAAAAATACTTATAATGTTAAATGAAGACTGATACAAAATTGCAAAGATATTGTTATTCCAGCATGGAATAAGATATTAATGAAATAATATACTGTGCATGTAGAATAGAAGGGAGAAGTTACTTTGCATTAAGTAGAATATACAACAGTGAAACTACAGAGACTCTAGCTAAATCCAATTTGTGGGTCATCTTGCCTACATGTTGTTGAGTGAAAGAGTCAAGGCATAAAATGAACATTTTATGATTGATTTAAATTTTAAACACTCAAAATTGAAATCATGTGTTAAGTATACAGTTAGTGACACACACTTAGGTGATGAATTGTCATGATGGGCAAGGGAAATACTTATGACAGCCACATATTTGTCTTACTCAGAGAGGAAGATTATGATACAGTGTGGTCTTGTGTTTCTTCACCCAGTTAACAGAATTCATTTGGTAATTCTAAAATTTCCCATTTATACTATCTGCCCTTGCACACAGGTGTTTGAACAGTGAGTCTTCCCTTAACCCAGGAAGGGCAGCTCATCTCTTGTAATTACTCTCGTTACCTCAACTTTCTGACTGACGCTCAGCTGTCAGTGCCATCCTGCTTAATGTGCTGTTTACCCAGTTGCACACAATGGATACAGCACCCAGAGCAAACCTGGAAACTGCGTCCCCTTCCAACCACCTGCCCCTGCCCCATGGGAATCTTGTGATCACCCCATAGGAATAGAGGATATTACCACGCATGACACAGACACCCAGGAATAGGGACGCCCCAGACATACTGAAAGTGACAGATGGCCTGTTATTATCTTTTTTTAAAAAAAGATTTATTTATGCATACAATAGCTGGGGCACAAGCCAGAGGTGTTGGGGATGAGAGGATTCACTAGAGACAGAGGTGGGAACAGAACAGGCAGACTGACTGAAGTACGCTGCTGAGGGGACCAGCGGGTAAGGCAGAAGAGGTCTGCTGTACCATGTGGGTTTCTCCTTGGCCGGCCGGGGATTGAACTCGTGCTGCAGAGGCTGCAGATTGCTTCATGGTACGTTGCTTAACCCTTTGCACCACCAGGGAGGCCATTCTGGTGATTTCTTTTTCCTAAACACACACTAAAAATATGATGTAAGAAAAGAGAGCTATATTTTGGAGATGAGTTTGTTTGAAAAATTTTGTTTTATTTATCCTTTGTGCTGAGCTATAATTTATATAATCTTTTAAAAAGATTTAGTTTATTTATTTATGCTGCAAGAACTGAGATGTAAGCCAGAGTTACAGGGGGTGAGAAGATTCACCAGAGACAGAGAGGGGAGCAGAACAGGCAGATCTACTGAAATACACTGCTGAGGGGATCAGTGGGGAGTCAGGAGAGGTCTGTGCGCCATGTGGGACCCTCCTCCGGTGACTGGGGAGCAGCCAGGGATGGAACTGGCGCTGCAGAGGCTGCGGGCAGCTTCGCAACCCAGCGCTCAACTGCTGTGCCACCGGGGAGGCCCTCTAGAGGTTTTAAAATGATTTAAATGGGATACTTACTAGAACAGTAAGGACTTTAGTTTCCATCTCAAATTAGAAACCTCCTTAATTACCCAAACAAACAAACTTAAATGGCTGTATTGACTTAACTTGAAAAACTTAAGTTGTTTTAGGAATTAGTCTAGCTTTGTCTTGAAAAGGTATATCGTTTTGGTGAAACTGTCCACCCATCCAAAAATCTCTTCTAGGAATTTAAGGAAAAATATGGACTTAAAAAAACTCATATTTTTATGAATATTCATTTTATGAATATTCAAAAAATATGAATATTTTTATGAATAATTTTTATGAATATGAATTTTGGGGAATATTCTGCCCCACTTTCTTTAGAACCTAAGGGCATTCTTACATATAAAACTTGAGAAATGTTTTAGAAATGCGCCTCCCTGGTGGAGCAGCGGGCTGAGCACAGCACTGTGAAGCTGTCTACAGCCTTTGCAGCACCGGTTCGATTCCCTGCCAGCTAGGGAGATACCCACATGGTGCGGCAGACCTCTCCTGTCTCACCCGCTGCTCCCCTCAGCAATGCTTTCCATCCATCTGCCTGTTCTCTCCCCACTCTCTCTGGTGAATCCTCTCACCCTTCCGCGACTCTAGCCTGTACTCCAGCTATTGTATAAATAAATAAAATCTTAAAAATAAAAGCCAGGGCCTCCCCTGGTGGCACAGCAGCTAAGCGCTGGGCTGTGAGGGCCTCTGCAGCGCTGGTTCATTCCCCGGCCGCCGGCGAGGGTCCCACAAAAAAAAAAAAATAAAACAACTTCAAGCTCCATTTTTAAAAAAACAAAACTTGAGAAAAGTTTTCTTCTCTGAAGGAGTTAGTTAAAAATTATTATTTAAAAGTAAATAATTGTTGTCAGTGTTGTCACAAATATTGGTAGAATAACTCTCTATAAAAATTAGTGCAAATGGCCCAAATTCTCAATGAGAGATCTCGTGTCTTTGTTTTTGCCTTTGTGTTTTTTGTCTCCAGAGGGCTGCCTTGTTAAAATGGTGCCATTATACATTCTAATTGAAAAAACAAACAAACAAAATTTTGAGATCCTGATCTAAAAATTTCTGATAAACAAAAATGAGTTCAAAATGCAATGGTTTAATTAAAGCATAAATGTCTTAAATTTATAATGTTGGGAGTTAATTGTTTTATTGTATGTTTAAATGTGTTTAATTTAAAAAAAAAATGCTTGGAGTAGTCAAAAAGAGTTACTGACCTGGTCTATGTTAACAGGAATAAATGTGGTTTTGTTTATATCCAGACTTCTTTTCTTCTTTTGGTAAAATTCTTTTCTAAAAAGACTAACCCACTATTTCTTACCCGTAAAGAAGTACCTTTGTTCCTCTGGTAAACACCTTCATTGATTTTTCCTCCCCTTGTCCTAGCCAAAAAAAAAACAACAAAAACAATAAACAAAAACCTCTGGCATATGAAATTGTTTCATTTGTATCTCTGCAGTTTGAACTTCCTATCCTAAGAAAAACTAAAGCTACTTCTGGTATCTCTATCTTAAATCTGTTCTTTTTATCATTTTTTTTTTAATTATTTATTTATTTATGCAAGCACTGGGTACAGTCAGAAGCATGGGAGGGTGAGAGAATTCACCAGAGCCAGAGCGGGTAGCAGAACAGGCAGAAGGACCGAAGTACACTGCTGAGGGGAGCAGCGGGCGGCAGGAGAGGTCTGCGCGCCATGTGGGACCCTCCTCCGGTGGTTGGGGAGCAGCCGGGGATCGAACTAGCACTGCAGAGGCTGCGGGCAGCTTTGCAACCCAGCGCTCAACCGCTGCGCCACCGGGGAGGCCCTTTATCATTATTTAAATGGTGGTATATTTCTCCAATAAAACTAAGGCTCTACTAAGTTTAATAATGAAAATTTGTTGACTACTTAATGAGCTTTTGGTTTATATTTCTTACTAGACTAAAATGATATGACCCGGTGAACTCAAGAACTGTGATTTTTGAATGACACTGCACACAGATTCTTCTAGATATTTCCTAATTATGTTTATAAATGAGCTTGATCAATACACTTTACATGTTATTCAGAAGAAAATAGACTATATATATAAAATATACTTTTTATTAAACTATTAACTGTTCTTCCATCAACATTCAGCTAATCTTATTTATTAAATAAATTACATTCCCAAATATTTTGTTTTGTTTTATGCTTGTCAGGCAGAATTTTATGTTCATTTTTATTATATTCCTATGCATAATGCGAAAGTTCCTGCCAGAATGCAGAGGTAATTCATACGAGGGAAAGAGGTTTTTTTTGGTGGGGGGCAAGAAGTGAGACATTCTTAATTATTTAAAAAACAAGAAACTCTTAGTGTCATCCTGTAAATGCTGTGAAAGCTAACAACAAGGATTATGTCGATATCCATTATTCTAAGGACAAAGACTGAAATTTATCCCGGCCCACAGACCCTAGATTATCTGTTTTCCATCCTCCTTCCATTAAGTAAATAGAAAAATATACCCAGCTCATAGGTTGGAGGAATCAACATTGTCAAAATGGCCATCCAACCCAAAGCAATTTATAGCTTCGATGCAATCCCAATAAAAATCCCAATGGCATTCTTCAAAGAAATAGAACAAAGATTACTGAAGTTCATAAGAAAACACAAAAGACCCAAAATACCCAAAGCTTTCCTGATATAAAAGGGGGGGGAATGAAGGTATCACACTTCTGATTTCCAACTATACTATAAAGCCATAGTAGTTAAAGCAGCATGGTAATGGAAAAAAAGCAGACACACAGACTAATGGAATAGAATTGAGAGCCCAGAAATAAAACCACCTGTTTAAGGACAATTAATATACAGGGCAGGAGCAGAGTACATACACTGGAACAGGGAAAGCCTCTTCAATAAAGGGTGCTAGAAAATTGGAACTGCTACATGTAAAATAATGAAACTAGACCATCATCTCATGCCACACATGAAAATCAATTCAAAATGGATAAAAGACTTAGATATAAGACCTGAAACCATCAAATATATAGAGAGAAACCTATGCAAAATGCTCCCTAACATAAATCTCAGAAACATGTAAAGGAGAAAGTAAACAACAGATACTATATTAAAACTAAAAGTTTTCTGTACAGCAAAAAAGACAGTGACTAAAACAAAGAGACACCCTCTGAATGGGAGAAAATACCTGCACACCCTATATCTGATAAGGAATTAATATCAAAGACCTACAAAGTACTTATGCAACTCAACAAAATGAAAACAACCAAATCAAAAAATGGGAAAATCAGCTAAATAGTCACTTCTCCAAAGAAGACATACAGATGGCCATCAGGCACATGAAAAAATTCTATCATTTATCATCAGGGAAATGCAAACCAAACCATAATGAGACATGACCTCACAACTGTAAGAATGGCCCATAATTTAAAAAAAAAACAACACACAAACAAGAAGTGCTGGTGAGGATGTGGAGAAAAGGACCCTCTTACATTGTTAGTGGATGTGTAAACTAGACTGGGCACTATGGAAAGAAGTGTGGACATTCCTTAAAAGACTGAAAATGGATCTTCCACATGACCTAGCAAGTCTACTCCTAGGGATCTACCCAAAGAACACCCTGGTGGAGCAAGGGGTATAGTCTCAGCACTATGAAGGTGCTAAATGCAATCCCTGGCCAGGGAGCTGAGCTACATGGGGCAGCAGACCTCTCCTGTCTCCCTGATGCTCCCCTCAGCAGTGTATTTCAGTCAACTGACCTGTTCTACTGCCCCACTCTGTCTCTGGTGGATCCTCTCACCATCTACCCACATCCCATCCCCATCACTCACACACACACACACACACACACACCTCTGCCCTCCATCCCAGTTCTTGTGTGCATATATAAATATTTAAAAGAAATCTTGATTCATGAAAATGTCCCCTGGCTTGCTATTTACAAGGAGAAATGATTGGAAACCATCTCAATGAAAACCCCAGGAAACAGTCCACTCTATCTCACAGATATATCAAATGTGACCATGTTCAGTAAGAAAGTGGGATATAAAATCCTCAAGATAGTGTTATTCCAGCATGGATAGAAAACAGGAATGAACTCACCTAGTGTGCATGTGGACAAGAATGGACTTGGCGTCCAGTGGAATACGATACAACAGTGACAGCAGGAGGCTCTAGCTGCAGCCAATCCTGGGGATCACCTTGCCCACATCTGGTTAAAAGAGTCTCCATAGAAAACGAACTGAAAAGGATTGATTTCTATTTCACATACCAGACAAAATGAAAGCCATGTTTTCATGCTACATTTCATAATGCACCATTATGTGAGAACGTGTCGTAAAGAGCATGGGGAATTGTTATTGTAAAGTTCACCTATTGGTGCGAACTCAGAGAAGATGATGACATGTGATGGTATGTTTCTTCCCCCAGTTCATGGGAGTTCATGTTGTGATTCTGAAACTTTACATGGATACGAACTGCCCTGATACACAGGTGTTCTAGGTCATAATTCAAAATAATGGAAAGCACTGGGAAGAAAGTCAGCTAACTCATAAAAGTGTTTCTCTGTGCATGAAAGATCATCATTGGCCATAGGTCATTTTATTTTCATCTATGGCTGAAATTTCCTAGAATGTACACAGCTCTCTCTGGGCATCAGAACCAGTTGACTCTAGCTCGTGAAAACTCACCGGTGCACTTATATCCCCGATCCTTCGCAGGTGAAAAGGAACCAGTCAAATTATTTTCAAAGTGAATCATTCTACTGTGGTCATAGAAAAACTACTTTAAGGGTAAACTATGGCCTTCCTGCCAGTCAGGCAGGTTTGGGTAGAGCAGATTTACTTGGAGTGAATGTCAAGGTCACCTCACTGATGTTAGTGAGGGGGTTTGGGTTTCTGGCCCGAATCTAGGCCCCTGCTCGTTCGTAAATCCAAACAAACACATTTTGCCTTTTTTTTTTTTTTAATTTTTAAATTTAGAAATGTATTCTGCTTAACTCACAAGCTTTGTATTGCTTTGATTAAAAAAGAGAGACAATAGGAGACTCATTGAAAGTCCAGACCCTTCGAGCTTTCCAATACAAGAGTTCTGAAAGCTGTACATACCTATGGAAGGAAAAAGGCCAAATGACAAATGGAGCCATGATGTTTCATCAAACAAGATTTGAAGTAATTGAGAGATCATCCCTCTGCCTAGTTCATTGGCTTTACCAAAAAACAAACCACGAAAAAGAATAGGACAGTATAGAATGAAATTCCTGTGTTCCAAATCAACTCGCCCCACATTTACAGCCATCCCCAGGGTCCGGCCAATGGCACGCTGTCATTTTCTGTCTCTCCTAGAGCTCAGATTCTGATGATAGTAGCAGAAATTCCACAGTCAATAAGAAAGATGGTGGCAGCAACACAGAAAGTTCCGCTTTTGTGGAACTGCAGCTGTGGGCTGACTTCCAGGCAGGCTTGCCATCCCTACAGAGCCAGAAGCACTGTCAATATTTGGGTGCTAAGACTCCAATGAAGTAATGAGAAAGGGAAAACACATCTGGGAATAACCAGAGCCCTGTCAAGGAGCTGTAAACACGCCAACATTAGGGTTCCCCACCACAGAGTAGGAGTAACATCTCCATAGTGTCATTAATGGCGATCACTCACTTCAGTCATGCGTGCATTGCAGGGCCTCAGGTCACCTCCAGCAGGTGCTCAGTAAATGAAATTCCTTTCTCCTTCCCTGAGGAGCCCAACTTCTCCTCATAACAGGGGATTGCAAGGAAGGAGGTAACATCACTTTAACACATTAGAACAGTTAAGAGGCAAAGTGGATTATCTACAAAATGCCCAGTTCCCAGGTGAATGAGTCACTGTGGCTTATGCAGCTCCTGAAATAAGAGGAATCCTCTTGGCACCAGGTGTCACAGAGAAAAGATCTCCAGAGCTCAGGAAAGAGCCCTTCAGTGTCTCAGATTATCCCCTATGAAGAACTTGCCACACCCCATTGGTGACAGCCCCCAGCTCCACCTGCTGTGTTTTTCGGGTGGGCCCTTTATTGAAGCAGAGAAGGTCACTGCTTTCACTACACTGAGTCGGTTAATAACAACCCATTTTAGAAAACCAGAGACCGGCAGCCAGAGTGCGGAGGCCCTGTGGCTCCTGGTCACTCAAGGCTCAGGAAAGCCAGGAGTCTATTCAAGGGAGAGTCTAAAGTCGCCTCATGAGGCAGTTTCCAGGTGTCAAATTACCCCTTCCAGGCTCTGAATGGCCACATCAGCTGCGAGACAGGTAAGTGACGCCTCAGCCTTCAGATATGAGCCCAGGACCAGCACGGGCACATCGCAGACCCCTTGAGAAACGCAGAGCCCCAGATGCCATGCAGCCCGCTGGTCAGAACCTGCACCCCGGGAGACTGGGACGCGGCTCGGCCTCCTGCCTGCTGGACCAGGGGCGGGAAAGGGGATCGGCCCCAGGAAAGTGGAAAACCCGCCCCAAAGTACACTGTAAACCCGCGGGGATGAAAACGCACAGGCCGGCGTGGGGATCTGAGGGCCCAGGACCCGCCAGGGCGTCCTTGAGGGCCTCAGTCGGGAGCAAACGCCTCGTGCAGCAGCGGGGCCACGCGCAGGAGGGAACCGGACCCCTGCGTCCTGCCGACCCCAAAATGAACCCCCAAAGCCCCAGTTCTCCACATCAGCCCGCCGCGCTGGGGCCTCCCCGAGCCCTCGCAGTCGCCGCCGCCAGGAGATGCTCGCGCCTTCCCTGCGTCGGTCTCACCTGCCCGCTCAAAGGCCGCCGGTTCCCCAGATCAAAGGGCAGTGGCGCCCTCACTGGGTTCCTGAAGGACCAGGCTCACCCCAGCCGGAACCTCACCCCGAGTCCGGGGGCGAGTAGGGCCAGGGGGCGGGCCTTGGCTACGCGCACGCGCGGTAGCGGCGCAGGTGCAGCCAGGTGCGCTGGGCGGGCTGCGGGGGGCGGGAGCTGCCGGCGGCCACGCCCTCCCGGCCGCAGGCGTTGGCGGGACGGTTTGCAAATAAACACTGAGATGCAAATATGGCCCCTCCTCACCCAAAATACTGTGACCCTAAATTATCCGCTAGTCATTAAAAGGGCAAATAAGGTTGCTTGAATTTCTGGAAAAGACTATTTTTTTTACATCATTCTTAAAAATCCCCTTACCTGAAGCTGACTCGAAAGCATGACTAGGGGCCACCCTGGTGGTGCAGGGGTTAAGTACAGCACTATGAAGCCATCCGCAGCCTCTGCAGCAGGAGTTCGATCCCCAGCCAGGAAGGTGACCCACAGGGCGCTGCAGACCTCTCCTGTCTCCCCCACTGCTCCCCTCAGCAGTGTATTTTCGGTCAGTCTGCCTGTTCTGTTTCCTGCTCTGTCTCTGGTGCATCCTCTCACACTCCCGCGCATCTGGCCTGTACCCTGCTTCTTGTATGCATAAATAAATAAATCTTTAAAAAGAAAAACAAAGGAAATTAAAGGCCCGTTAGGTGGGTCACTTCACTGGGAATACCAACTGCCAGAAAGGAAGGGCCTGGGCACAGAGGGTCTGGGGCAGGTGGCACAGGCAGGGCTGGTGGCACAGGCAGGGCTGGGGCAGGCAATGCTGGCAGGGTTGGGGCCAGAGGGGCTGGGGCAGATGTGGCTGGGCCAGGTGGCACAGGCAGGACTTGGGCTGGAGGCACAGAAAGGGCTGGGTCAGGGGGCATTGGAGAGGTTGGGGCAGGCGGGGCTGAGGCAGGTGGCACAGTGGGGCTGGGGTAAGGAGCACAAGCTAGGTGGGGATGGTGGCACAGCTGTGTGGGGCAGGTGGCACAGGCTGGGCAGGGGGCACAGTTGGGGCTGGCGGCACAGAAAGGGCTGGGTCAGAGGGCACAGTGGGCTGTGGCAGGTGAGCTGGGGCAGGAGGCACAGGCAGGTCTGTTGCAGGCTCCGAGACTCCCAGTCTTTCACCGACAGTGTCCACCGCAAGTCATTAAAACAGCAAACAAGTTTGCTTAAATTTCTGGGAAAGATTTTTTTTAAATCATTGTTAAAAATCCCCTTACTTGAAGCTGACATAAAAGCATGACTTGGAGCCTCCCTGGTGGCACAGGAGTTTAGCACTGCACTGTGAAGCCATCTGCAGCCTCTGCAACAGGAGTTCGATCCCCAGCCAGGAAGGTGAACCACAGGGCACAGCAGAACTCTCCTGTCTCTCTGCTGCTCCCCTCAGCAGTGGATTTCAGTCACTCCACCTGTTCTGTTCCCCACTCTTTGGTGAATCCCCTAACCCCCCACCTCCACACCTCTGGCCTGCACCCCAGTTCTTGTACTCATAAGTAAATAAATCTGTAAAAAAAATAAATAAAATAAAATAAAAGCATGACTAAAACATCATTTACCTGCAGATCCTGAAATGGATCCTACTGCAAACATTAAAAAGCAGCTGTTATTCAAAATACATTATGAGAAAAATGAAGGCTCTCACTCCACATATAATGTTTCTCTTTGCAAATCATGGTGCAGTACAATACAGTGTGGCCCAGACTTTGACATCACTGAGTCTGTTCTGTGGTTTGGTGGTGCAGGGGTTGGAGTCAGGCCAAGCTGCAGAGACTGGGGGCAGGGTACTCTCCTGCTATCAACAGTGATGAAGAATGAGTCAAAAAAAAAAAAAAAAAAAAAGAACACACCCTTGCCAAACTGCAATTGAAAACATGTCTCAAATTTAGTTTCCTACCTTGGAAGAGTTGATGGAGGACAAGAGTGAAAAAACTGGAAAGATGGTGCCCCAAGACCAGAACCTGACTCACACAAGGAGGAGGGGGTAGAGGAAGTAAAACAACCATTAACCCAGCTGTAGAAATCAAGACCTTCAGGGGCAGTGCCTTATCACAAGGCATAAGGTCCAAACAGGATCAGACTGCTTTAGAGAGTGGAGCATAGGCCTGAGCGTAAAGATATGGAGATGGGTCCATCCTAGAACTTGTGGTCCCTTTCTAGTTTTGCCAAGTTATCCAACATCAGCAACAAACAGGCCACTCCACAAAGGAGTGACCCCTCCCAAAGAGAAAAGGACTATATCTATGCAGTCTCTGCCCTGGCAAGGGCAGCCATCCCTCTCCCCACCCATGACTATGCAGGTGATTCCTGTTACCAAACCTCTCCCTCTGCGAGGCAACAGCCTCATGCCTGCCCATGCCCTGTACCTGCCCGGACTTCTTCTTACTGACCTCCATCAGTGGAGGCGGCTCCCTTCAGGGCCCCCGCCTGCAACCATACAGGCCTCTCTCAGCAAACCTGTCCCTCTCGCGGCAGCTCTTCCTGCCCGCTGGTGTCTATGCAAGTATCTTTTTCTCTGCCGTCCCTAATAAACCTGCCTTTTAAATATAACTACCATCTGCCTCATGGAGAAACTTGCCTGGGAAACTCAACACGTGCCACTGAAAGGGGAGTTCTGGTGAAACCTTTCCCAGAGTGAACCCAAGGACCCTGCACTCCAAACCCACTAACTCCAAAAACCACATCATAATAAGTCCTGGGCATGAGCTATATTTGCAGCTGCCAAACACATCTTGTGGTGGAAAAGAACAGGTGTTGGTGCAGGACACCAAATGTTTGTAACAATATCACCCCATGGGGCTCCCTGGTGGCACAAGGGTTAAAATGCAGCCTGTGAAGCTGTTGCAGCCTCTGCAACACCATTTCCATCCTGGCCCACCAGGGAGCAACCCACATGGTGCATCAGACCTCTCCTGTTTTGCCTGCTGCTCCCTTCAGCAGTGTATTTCGTCAGTCTGCCTGTTCTGTTCCCCACTCTGTCTCTGGTGAATCCTCTCACCCCCCACACCTCGGGCTTGTACCCCAGCTCTTGTATGCATAAATAAATAAATCTTTTTTAAAAAATTGAGAAGGAAGGGATAATACCAAACACGTTTTATGAAGCCAACATTACACTAATACCAAAACTCAATAAGGACAACACACGAAAAGAAAACTACAGGGCAATCTGTCTAATGAACATGTATGCAAAAATCCTCCATAAAATTTTAGCCAACACAATCCAACAATGTATCCATAAAATAATTCACTGCAACCAAACAGGATTTATTCTAGGGATACAATGATAGTCAACATCCAAAAATCAATCAATGTAATCCAACATATCGACAAAAAGACATATAAAAACCATATGGTAATATCAATAGATGCTGAGAAAGCTTTTGACAAAGTACAACTCCCATTTATGATAAAGGCCCTTGAAATTCTCGGAATACAAGGAACATAAAGGCCATACATGACAAGCCCATAGCTAATATCATTCTCAATGGTGAAAAGTTGAAAGCATTTCCCTTAAGATTTAGAACAAGAGGGCCTCCCCGGTGGCGCAGCGGTTGAGCGCTGGGTTGCGAAGCTGCCCGCGGCCTCTGCGGCGCCGGTTCGATCCCCGGCTGCTCCCCGGCCACCGGAGGAGGGTCCCACATGGCGCGCAGACCTCTCCTGCCGCCCGCTGCTCCCCTCAGCAGTGTACTTCGGTCCTTCTGCCTGCTCTGCTCCCCGCTCTGGCTCTGGTGAATTCTCTCACCCTCCCGCGCTTCTGACTGTACCCAGTGCATGTATAAACAAAAAACAAACAAACCAGCAAAACAAATAAATAAAGCATGCCTCTATAAAAAAAAAAAAAAAAAAAAAAAAGATTTAGAACAAGAAAGGATGTCCACTCTCACCACTGCTTTTCAATATAATACTGGAAGTCCTAGCCAGAACAACAAGACAATAGAAAGACAGACAAGGACTCCAAATATGGAAGGAAGAAGTAAAACTATCACTATTTGCAGATGATATAATTATATTCATAGAGAACCCCAAAAACTCCACAGAAAAACTAATCAAACTAATCAACCAGTTTAGTAAAGTAGCAAGATACACAATCAACA